ATTGCTAGATAATGCGACTGAGAGCCTTAGCAGGCCCTCCAGAAAAGTAATTCAGCCAAGCAAAATTATCAGCTAATTATATTTAGAATCAAAAGCCCAACAACTATTTGCAGATAAATTGTATGAATTGAAGTGAATAGACCTGAATATTAAGATTCATAGATTTAGCAGATGATTTGTTAATTGGAATAAAAAGGCCATTTACTAGCCATTTTAACAATAGATCAATCGGAACTCTATTTATTATTTAACTAGTAGTGCTTAAGGATTGAAATGAATCATTGTATTATTGTTATGATATGATAGTTTTCTAGGGAAGGACACAAATGCATGGAAATTAAAAGATTCCTTGTCCATCCTCAGCCCAAAGCCTGAGTCCATGTATGATCTGTCCTGTTTGGTTAGATCTATGGGTCTTGGCATCTGAGAGATACACAGTTAGTAGTAAGACTACTACACGTAGTAAGGACTGGCCAGAAAACACGCACAAACTTTGGTGCAGAAAGGTAGAAAAATGAGTATGCAAATCAGAGCATTTGGAAAGGAAAGAATTCCAAATTTTTAACTTTTATCCAGCGAACTACAGAGGAATTAAATTCTGATTTTACTAATTCATGATCCTGGTAGAGGTTTTTCATGAGGGGAAATTGCATACTCAAACGATGACTCAGATTGCATCTTGGCCTGCAGTTTTGTTTTAGGGAGCTGTTCTTTTTTTTTTTTTTTTTCCCTATGCAGACGATATGATTAAAAAGCAAATATTTTAACATAACTTAGTGATCTGAGCTATTACTGAAATGTCCACAGTTTCACTCTTTTTTTTTTCTCCTAGATTAAAGAAAACTTTAAAAATCTATTTGCTTTGACATATGACACAATATTTAAGAACTGAAATCATCAATTAAATCACACATCAGAAACATTTCCCTTTGGTAAAAAATATAGTGCTAGACGATGTACACTTTGAAATTGTTGTTAATGTTTAAAATGCAATCTGAAGTGCATATGTTATTTTAAAAAAAAACAACATAAATTACAAATTTTAAAAGTTTCTGGAAGAAAAAAAAGGCCCCAGCAATCATTGCATAGCAGAAGCATGTGCAGAGAAATGTGTATCTTTGGGGTTTGTGGATCTGCACAGTTTTCTAGCATGAAAGCTGAATATGTTATTCGTTATTTTCTTTTCTGTCTAAAATTGAGTAGATCTAAAGGAAACAGAGTTTTTTCACAGTACCTGTAATAAAGTACCAAACCCAACATTCACATGAAGGTAGCAAAAGCCTTTGGACTGTCACTGAAAATAGAAAAGGTGAATATTGACAAGATTTCAGAATTATTTTTTTTTAATTCTGAGGAGTGAGGGAAACTGAAGTTAAAAATAAAGTCCTCGTATGGTCAACATGTTGGAGGAAATTCAAAGCCTCTCATAAAATAAACATATTTTGAGAAGTGTTTTGAATTTCAGTGTGTAATTTCTGGCCAACAGAAATTACAGTTGTATCTTTGGAGGGACTTTATGTCAGATCAATGGTCTTTATGGGAAAAAAATAAACTGAGACCTGGATACCTTAACCCATTCAGCTATTAAAATGTGAACACCAAGAGGGACAGATTTGCTTTAGATTCAGTACTGGAAAACTTTGCACCACAGTGGTATGATTCTAAAATATTTGGGTTTGATGTTACAGGAGATATGTAAATTGTCCTTTGAAAAAAAACAAAACCATAAGCACAAAACTTCGTGTGCGCTTTGGTGAAACGATTTCATCAGTGGGTATTAAAAAATACAACAATCTACATCCTGAAAAAGAAAGGAAATTATCCAAAGCATGTGAATAAGCTAAAATATCCCAGGCTGGAACATGCTGCAGGTTATTCCTGGGTTATATTTAACTTTAACCTTTGGAGCCTGAAAGTCTAAGGAGAATCTTTGCTGTGCCAGGTGAGGGAGATGTGTGTGTCTCTGTGTCTGCCCAACTTGCCCACGTCTGCCCTTGTTTTCCTGCAGCATTATTAAGCAAAGCCGTCCATACTTCACCATGTTGTTACATGTGTCTGTCTGCTGATTATAAAATGTGTTAAACAGTATTTAAAAAACAAAAAAATGCAGAGCTGCGCTTTGATTTATTCAGCGAACAAAACATATGCTCGCTGTTCTGTTCTATGTAATTCATATGATCAATAAAATTTTCTTTAAAAAGAGCAACTTTGGCATTTAGAAGGATTATGCTGCTGAGGGAAAAAAAAAAAATAAAAAAAAAAAATGTTTCCCTCTTGCTGCATGTAGGCAACCTCAAGGCTCTTGCACCGAAATAAGTTTTTGGCTGACGAATGTCTCTTTTTTTGTGTATTTCTGGTTTGTAATCCTCAGGATCGAAGCTGTTTATTGTGGTTGTTACCCGCTGTGTCCCAAGGCCTTGGTGTACCCAGAGATCTTCCCAGGTAGCTGCTCTGTTGCCTGTTCCTTTTGCTGAAACGTCATGTCGTGATTCCTGCTCAAATCCAAAGTTTGAGAATAAACTTGAGCAAAAGCAATTGTTTATTTGGCAAGCCAACATGTTAGTGTTAAGGAAAATTTTATGTGTTTTAATACATTAGACCAAGTTTATATTTGCCATCTGTTCTTTTAAGATAACACAAAAGCAAGTTTTGAAATAGCATTCTTCATTGTTAGCATACACAACCCATAATGATAGATTTTTGTTAAAAGGTCAGTGATGCTGCAATGGTTTGCAGATTTTTATTTTTTTTTTTTGATACACAGAAGGGAAAGAAAAAAAAAAAGAGGCCTGAAAATCACACCAAATTATTTAAACAATTTAATACTTAATAGTATGCAACTGCAGTACAGGATACACACTAATGTAGTACCAGTTCTTTGAAAAATCTCATCACTAAATGTATCACATATGCATTGTGTTACATTAGAATAATGTATTTTAATCACCCAAAGGAGATGTCTAAACAGCACAACTACACAGTCTTATTTAGCATTAAACATCCTTGTGAGCTGAGGTAACCTTATAAAATCATGCTTAAATAATGTAAAACACGAGGCGGCACAGAGCAATATGCATTTTTAATTAGTAAAGTGACTAATATCGAGTGTGTGCTTTGAGGTTTTTGTTTCATTAAAAATGTATCTGTTTTTCCTGCAGCTGAATATCTGTATTCTACACCTGAACAGCTTTTTAAAAGGCTTCAGAATTTCTGCAAGAGACCAGATATTGTGAGGAAACATCTCTATAAGGTAGTTGTTTGGAATAGTTTTAGATGATATAATGCCATATCGAAGTACAAAGGGGGGAGGAAAAAAATCCACCCTTAAAAAAACAACATTTAATTAACATACTAATGTTTAAAGGAAACATGCTAGGGAGGGATATTAGTCGTTACACTAACAAGGATTAATTAAAGTAGATGCCAGTTGTATTAACCTAGGTCTTATGAAATACGTGCACTTAATGCATGCTACATGCTTTTTTTTAATTTATTGTTTTCTAAAATGACTGTCCTTTACATTTGGACCCAAGAGGCTTATAAAAATGAACCTGGATTAATGCAACTCATTAGTTTAAAAGGAAAATAAAAGAAAGATCCTACAATTATACTAATGAGGATAAGCCTACCTTCCTATCCTAATTTCATCTTCCAAAAATGCAGGTGACAGGTATCAGGTAAGATTTCTTTGCCTTTTGGAATTATTTGAACGATTTCCATCGTTATGATGATTTTAACTCTTTGCTTTATAAGGTGTCTTGAGTATAAAAGTTTATGGGGAGCATAATTTACTGGTGTTTATCATGTCCTCTTTGCAGTTATTTCTGTAGAGAAAGTCCAGTCTCAGTGCATACTGTTCAGGTTTTCATCAAGTGGTCAGTGCTAGACTGCCTTTCCTAGGTTTAAGTGGTGTATTTGTACTGTTGGGAGTCACACTTCTCCTTTTTAAAAATTTTAATTGCGTGATTGTAGATGAAGCACTAAATTTTCTATTATTCCAGTGAAGAGGTGTTATTACATGATGCTTCTTTAGAGGAATAACTGCTCTTTTCTGCCTGCTGCTGTCTACATTTAAAGCGCTTTGTGACTTTTACTGTCCTGACTCTGCCGTGGGCAGGTTGGATACACATCACCTCTGCACAACAGAGGTGTTTCAGCTTGTAAAAAAGCCCTGAATTCAGCTAAAGGCTTGGGAGTGCAGAGTAAGACTCCTGGTGTTAACCCGTGCAATACAAATGTGGTTCTTTTGAGTGTTCCCTCGCTGTCGCCGTCCAGGCACACTGTTAATGAGCAAGTCGAGTAATCTCCTTAATTTGAAGTCTCATGCTGCCAGCAGATCTAACCTCATCCCTCCACCTCCTTCCCTCTGGGGACCAGAAAGTGTTGGGTCTTGCTGTGTCTCGTCTGCCTCTCTACCCCTTCCTGCACACATGTAGGAGCAGTGAGGGTTTAGCCCAAGCCTTGACTTTTTTTGTGACCTAAAAATAGACATTTACATAATGATACATCAAAGATGATGTTGTTTCTGCAGGAAACAGTTAAACCTCAAGAAAAAAGGAGAGAACCAAAAATGCAATTTAACACCCAATTTCAAGCTCATTATCTTTCATTGTCTATTAACTTGGCAATGGTTCAGAAGGTAGCTCATAATAGTTTAAAATGCTGACTGAACACTTCCAGTGTTCAGCATTACTTCTTGAGTCAATAGTATCGTAGAGTTATACATGGGGGCTTCAAAGGGAAAACAGTCCTTAAACGTTTACCTTGACATTTCCCAATGCTTCAAGCTCAGCTAATGGTCGTGTTCACATGGATCTTCTCCCTTACATATGGATCCACAGCTCCCAAACAGAGCCAAGGCATGCAAAAAATGGGAGTAGCAGCAGAGAAAATACTGATATAAAATAGTATGTGTTGAAAATGTATGTGCAAGCCCTGTAGGCAAAATGCTGATTTGCTTGAAGGATTTTTCTCTTTTTTTAAAGAACTCCTTGGGATGATTTACAGGCAGAAGCTGATTGTGTTTATCCTACCCTTCATGCATGGTCTTGTGCTGTCCCATTCAGATCTCCTTTGTGTTAGAACTGAATGTCTGCAACAGGTAGCAGTGGAGCTGAGTGAGGGATCGTTTTAAAATGAGTGAAGCAGAGCCTAATCCTGCACCTGTGGGCACCAGAGGAAAGATCCCTGTTGTCTTTAATAGGCTTTGGATCAGCTTGGAGAATACTGTTAGAGTTGTCTTTTTGTATATACACCCACGTACACCAGGTCTCTTTTCACAATGAAACCATCCACAAAACCTCCTGGAAAATGCTAACTTAGAGCTGTGCTGTTAATGTCAATATAGCTGGAATGATGCTGCTTTTTTAGGAAGCTGAAAAGAGTGAAATCATGAAGGCTACACAGCACTTACATTATATTTTCACCTTTGCTTTCATATCAGTATAATATTATCTCTGCTATAGTGGAATAGGAAAGAGATCCCAACACAGTGATGCATACTAACCAGCTGCTTTGCTTTTAGAATCCTTCCTGCCATACTCTCTGCCTGAAGTTTATAAAGTATCTGTGAAATTTTGGAAGTAAAAATACTTCAAAAGCAAACACTGCTTTTCTCTGATAGTTGGGGATTCTGCTCCATAGATTGGGAAGTAATTGTCATCAGGAGTACCTTGGCTTATCCTTTACATGTTGTTGGGATTTGATTACTAAGGATATCCATAATAATTAGACATCAGACTAATTAAACAGGCAGTTTATTCCTTCAGTTGTCCTCGGTGCTTGTGCTGACAAAATTAGGGGCAGAAAAGAGAAAAATGACAGAGGGGCAGTGGGTTTAGGGACTGGACACAGGGAGTATCCCTGTGAAAATGCACAGACCAAGGCATTAGACTGTAATAGCTTAATTCCATGGAGCAGATTCATGCTGGCAGACTTTTAAAAATATCCATAATGTAAGCACCTATGAAAACCTTTCCAAATGATGTATTGCTTACTCTGTGTATTCTCACAGTGCTCAGGACTGGCTCATCTGCATTTCAACCTTGCCTTCTACCAGTTATTAACAGAAGATTGAGATGAGAGGAAAGTAAATCTCATTTGTTCTCAATTATTTGTTCTCCTCCAGTTTCATGGAATCAAACTCTAGTTCTGGGTGGGTTTGGGTGCCTAAGTAAGCTCCAGAATGAAGCAACTAACAGCAACAGAGCATCAGGCAGAGTACACCATAGGACCTGTCAGTGCTTGCAAGTGCCCTTATCTAGTAGATTTAAAGTTAAAAATATAAAATAAAATAGGGCAAAGCATTTGTTTCTGCATTATTTGCTTTAAGTTTACCTTTCAGTTCCCTCACTTGAGTTTCCTAATTTAAAACAGCATGTATAAAGAGTATACAGTGGAAAGGGACAAGAAGAGTTGCCAAAAGCCAGGCATGGAAGGAGCTGACAACTTTAAATAATCTCTCCCAGCCCTCCCAGCTGAATGAGTGCTGGTTGACATGCTGTCAGCTTCAGTTCCTACAGAAAAATCCTACTCTCACTCATGCTTGTTTAACAGAGAAAAGAATTTGGCCCACTTTCTGACATTCATCTTCTCATTTCCATCACACTACAGAAGCTCACCTGCCTATGAAAAGACACATGGCATGATTTTTTTTTTCTTTCTTACACCACTGTAGAAGGAAATCTGCTGAATTCAAAGGGATTAAACTGCTGTAAAATCAAATTAAGATCCCAGTTAGACCGTAGACATCTGAATTGTTTCCAGTCTCAGGATTTGGCTCTATAGGGCAGTTCTAACAAAACTTTCTTTTTTCTTTTTTTTTTTCTCTGATTGGAGATAAAGCAGTATCTTGTGTAGTTTAGGGAAATATGTAGAAGGGAAAACTGCTCCTGATCCAGCTTTCATATTTAGGCAAAGCTAGGAAAGCAGCAGGAGGCATTCTCAGCCTAAGGATACAGGGTGCTGAACACGTGAGGATTCAGGATAGCCTCACAACACATGTCCCATCAGCCACTCAGCCCTCTTGCAGGAAGCAGAAGTCATTCATAGTTCTTGTACAGTCCATGCAAGATACAGGGGCAATGCTTCTGCCTTTATCCTTACCCACTCCACAGGAAAACTTCATGAGAAACTCATTTTTCCATAAGCAGCCTGGGTTAGTGGAAGGTGTCTGTGTTCATGGCAGAGGATTAGAATGAGATGGTGTGTAAGGTCCCTTCCAACCCAAACCATTCCAGGATTCTATGATATGTTTACAGACAGCATTAAAAGCTTTTTTTTTTTCAGTTGGCTCAGGATTTCCCCACCTTAGGTCACATTGAGTGTTTTCTTGTTCTGAAAACAAGAACTCCCCATCCATCTTTTCTATATAATTTATTATTTTATAAACATTTGTCACATATCCCAGTCTTTAAAGTCTCTCCTTGTGAATTTTGCTCCATGTTTATATTCTAATCTCTCATCATTCAAGCCATTTGATGCTTGTGAGCTGTCTTTGTGTTGGTGTGATCATTGCTTTAGAGTATTCTGGGCCATGCCATCAGTTTATGTGATGCGTAGTACTCTGATAATTCTCAACCTGTTCCTTATGGAGCCAATCCTACTGTTTACTTTTTAATGGTGAATGTATATTGAGCAGATGTTTGCTTACAGTGTTCTCCAGATCTTTTGTCCTGAGCTGATAAAGTTAATTCAGAGCTTTATAGGATATGCAAATAGTGCAAGTGTTTCCATCCATCCTGCTGGATTTCTGTTCAACAGCAGAGCATGTTTGCAGAGGGAAAAAAAAGGAAGGAATTATATTGAATTTGTGTTTTACCTGGTTAGCAATAGGTTCTGGTTGGAGGGAGGTTAGAAACACAAGTAGGAGATTTGTATTTGCCTCTTGAGTTGCTCAGTTTCCAGTGAATGTAATTTAAAATGTTTTCAGAAGTGATTTGGATTTGCTTCTCAGAGCCTGTGGTCTTGATCTGCTTCTCTGAACCTGTGCAGGAAGGTTATAGGAGCCTAAGAACTCTGAGGTGCAGTGTGCTGTGTCCATGCTCTCCTGCCTCTGCTTCAGTGCTTAGCCATGGGGTCCTAAGCAAAATGTATATAACATAAGGATTATCTCCTGCCTCTGCTTCAGTGCTTAGCCGTGGGGTCCTAAGTAAAATGTATATAACATAAGGATTTCTTCTGTGAAATAAAACTTTCATTGCTTATTTAGAACATGAAATCATAGAGTAGTTAAGGAAGGTGCCTCTGGAGGTCACCTGGCCAGCCTCTGCTCAAAGCAGGGCCAGCCTTGAAGCAGAATCTGACTTCAGAGTTGGATTAAGTTGTTCAGGGTCACATCCAGGTTAGACTGAAATCTTGAGATTTTTCGCTCCCATATGTTTGGCTGATCTTGGTGAAATCCAGCTAGTTTAGGAGGTTTGCACAGGTGAGATCTGCTGGACTGTGGACCACAATTTAAGTATTTTGGGTCAACCTTAGGTCTTCAAGCAGCATTTGGGTCTGGAAGCAGTTGTGATAGAGTGAGGTCTGTTAACTAATGTGAGTCCTCACTGTGGAAGAAATGAGCTGGCAGAAAGGCTACTGAAGTTGCCTAATAGCTCATTTTGGGATCCAGACATAGCTATATAGACCTAATGTACGTGTAGATATATATATGTGTATGTGGCCTGCACTTGAACTTCTCCCAGAACTTGCCTTGCACTTGGCTCTCAGAGGTATATAGCTAGGAGACTTCAGCTCTCTGAAAATCATAGAATCATAGAAACATGTAGGTTGGGAAGAGAACTTAAGATCATTGGTCCAACCTTTAACCCAGCACTGCCAAGGCCACCACTAATCCATGTCCCCAGATGCTGGTCTGTAGCTCATAGCAGTTGGCTGTACTGTAGAGCAGGACTAAAGCAATCATTAAGAAAGCAGTTATGGGTGCAACTTTCAGCATAAACACCAGAACTTGGAACTTTTTATTCTAACAGTATTAGATAGCTTCCAGGGTAGTTTTAGAAAGCAAATGAAAACTGGCAGATGAGCCACAGCCGCTGCAAAACGGTAGATGTAGAAATGGGTCAAAGCAAATCGGATTGACTTTGGAAGAAAAGTTGCAAAAAGCATGAAAACTTCTTTTTTTCAGTAAAGTTTATTAAATTACCTTGAGGAAGAAAGCCTGAAACTGTTTTCCTACTGTTGTAGTTGGTCAGTGTGTGATAAACCATCCTACGCAAGGGACCCACCAGCATAGCCTGCATAGATTCACATAAAAAATTTGATGGTTTCTGTTTAAAGACAGCAAGAATGAAATGAGTTTTAAAAGGCCAATATAACAAACTGCAAAACAGACACACCAGCATAGCCTGCATAGATTCACATCAAAAATTTGATGTTTTTTGTTTAAAGACAGCAAGAATGAAATGAATTTTAAAAGGCCAATATAAGAAACTGCAAAACAGACCAGTTTGGTCAGGGAAATACAGTTTCTCTACTGAGGATCATTATCTAGCTCTGCCTTGGGCCTCACAGTGCACCCAATTCATGTAAAGTAATGGTGTCTTTTGATGGTGGTTTCCAAATTCATTTGGAGTTTAAAAGTTGAGCTCCAAAGCTAATTGCTACGAACTGCTTTGCACCTTGATTCTTTCCCCATATTCATAGAGGGAAGGAATTGGGTAACAGAGTAAAGCTTACCCAATGCAAACTGTCTCTGTAAATCACTCTGCTGTCTTGCCTGCCAAATCTCAGGTTTTGTGTTGAATAATAGTCTCTAAGTCTTGAACTGTTCTGAAACAAGCAGGCTGAATGGATGAACACTCCTATTAAATTCTAAAGGTTATCTCTGAAGTCTAATGATGGCAGAGTAGATGTTAATTGCTTCAGTTATGATCTTAGGACACCAGAAACAGGTAAGTTGATTATTTCATGAAAGATACTATGCTGCTACTGACATTATGCTGCCTGTTCCTTATGGGGATATCTTGCATTATGTGAAAACTTTGCTTCTCTTGATCTCTGCATATTTAGGAACTGTTAATGGAATGACTATTCCTTGAAAAAATGAATGCTCGGACCTTTTCAGAGGTATCACTCCTCCTCAAAAAAAAGGAGGTTACTCTCAAATAAAGCCCAGACCATTGATGGCCAAGCAGGAGAACTAGGCCCTCACTCCTGCTGGCTTGTGGCTGTGCCATGGCAGAGAGGGGCAGGTTGGTCCCTGTGGGTGTTCCATCTGTGTTGTGTCCACTGAGACCACCAGTAAAGCAGAGGGATGTTTGATGGTGCTCATCCAGGAGCAAATAATCTGGGCCTGATGATCAGTTTACCTGTCTTAAAAAAAACAAACCACTGAATTCACCCCATTTTTAAATAATGCTGCATAAGCATTCTCTGGCCAACTGGCTTCCACCCCTCCTGAAATTCTTCCTGTGTGAGAGACATTCCTTTTGTGTCCCAGCATCTAACACAGCTCCTTGTGCTTTTCTCTTGTGCTTCCTCGCAGGGCGAGACGGCCGGGTTTTCTTGGGCAGCGCTCGGCAGTAAATTCAGGTCTCTGCTCGCAGCAGAACCGAGGGAAGATTTGTGACAGATGGGGCTAAGTCACAAACTTGCAGCCTCAGGCAGAATTGTGGAAGTTTCCAGAGTGTGCCCATATTTACCTGATCAGAGAGAAAAGAAAATCTGCAGAGGAAGCCGAGCCTGGCTGCTTGTCATAGCTGACACAGAGCCATCTGCCACAAACCTGTGGCGGCTTCAGATCTCCAATCCCTGCCACCACCCCAGCTCAAATTAAATACAGATTCTTAGAGACGTTATGATGGTTACACATGTCCTCGGCATCACATGCAGGAGACTGTTCAAAAAAAATATGTGGCCTGTTGTGTAACCGCACTCATGTATCCCATATGTGGTGCCACATTGAATTTCCGGTTGAATCTGTTTTTATCCTTTGTACTGGATGACATGGTGCCTGAATTCTTTCTTTTCGCCGACACGATGGCAGCCAAGCTGCAGCTTCAAACGCTCACACTTGGCTGAGTTTCTACCTAGGTTGCCAGGTTATCATTGGAGCCTTATTGTGTCCTCAAAGGGCCACAGGGCCTGAAAGGAGGATCCGAACACTGCCGGACTAATTGGGCAGCCATCTCCGGGTTGTTGGGAGGCAAAGGGCTGCTTGAGCACTTCTCTCTCTCTCTCTCCTTTTTTTTTTTTTTTATTGCAAATTAATGACTCTCTGGCACAGAGGTTTTTAAGTGAAGGTATTAATAAGGGGTCTGGCAGGTAATCCCATGATTCGTGGAGTTACATTTGCATTTAATTAATCTTAAAGAAAGCTGAAAGATAAACAGCTGTAATTCAAGCTAGCATGGGAAATATGCTACATGGTGCCATCTATCCGATAAAATGAAAGCCGAGACACTTGTTTTATTTCTCTCAAGGATGGAGAACAAACAGATAACAATCAAAATACTTCCAATAAAAACCAGTAGTTTAAACGTAATGGCAGTTCATCAAGAATCTTTGCATCCAGTTGCAAATACAGTCTTTTAAAGATAAATCACTTATGATTCCAGCAGTCAAGCCGCTATATTTGTTAATGTAAAATGTTTTGAAGATGTAGATTGTACAATAAATTTTTAATAAAGTGCCCACTGCAATTTTTAATTAGCATATCTCATTCATGTATAAGTGTGTACATCTATCTGTATGTTTATCACCATGCATATCCTTGTGTCAGAGTCAATGAATGCAATTGTGTCTTTATCTGATGAAGTAGAATCTGGTTTGCAAGGGATAATAAAACCTTAAGACAATTCCAAGATTTTCAGCTCCACTCTGGGAAGAAGCAAGAAGAAGATTCTGGGTAAGGTGTTACAAAATGAAGCCTGGTAAGACTTCTCTTTGTAGACAGGTATGGTCTCAGCTTGCCTTGAATCAGACAGGGCAGCTCCTCTCCCTGTCATGGCACCAGACATCAGCACTTTCCCTTTACCTGAGCACCATCCACAGCAGGTGAAAGGAATGGGCTGGTCCCCCTCTCACACATGCCTTTGTCCCTTCGGACACCATCAAGATGTTGAAATGTCCTTTCTCAGTGTGAGAGAGACCTTGTGGTACCTCTCTTTAAAATTACTCCCTGAGGCAATCAAAAAACCTCAGGGAGACCCAACGGCAAGTGTTTGGGTATTTTCCTAGCACTGCAGAGTTGTAATTTTGCAGTAATCATCTCTCTTGTATGTGGGTTCCTCCTCCTTTCTGCTCAGCCAAAGCCCAGCTTGGCTCTAGGCATTGCATGTGGTTGAGTTGATGTCGTCTTCTCAAGGGAGGGTGTAGGTCTGGTAGTCATTCTTGATAGAGCCAAGGAACAGAATTGCCTTGCACTTATAGCAGACTGTGTCACAGATGTTCACTGATGTTATCACACCTTGCACTAGCAAGAGCAAATTAGAATATTTTTGGTCTTCTGAGGAAACTGAGGCATGGTACAGTTAAAGCAAATTGCTTCAAGTATC